AGTAGTATACTGTATATTGTAATATACAGAATAGAGGAAATCAGCTCTTATATACATTATTTAGGTATGCATACTGGTCAGAGAGCCCGTTGTAAGTCCGAGTCATTGGTAAACAAGCACATCACTAAGTGAGGAGACGCTGTATTGAAAATCTTGCTGTGTGGCAAATATCTGAGAAATTATGAAAGCATTTGGAAATTTCACTAGTTTTTCACAGTGGTTATTTTTCATATTATGATATCACCTGTTTACTGTGATCTTATTGCATGTATAAGAATAGCCAGGTGTTGCACACACACAAATAACCCACACATAGGAGAGATAAGCTTACGGCAACATTCCGATCCAACTTGGTCCAAGTTGAACCAAAACATAATAGTTTCTCTCTGCTATATGCGAGTTATTTGTGTACTGTTCCAGTCACAGTATTGTGCCTTGTTGTTTTTTGTTACAGACTTGCCTTACTCATGAGTCACAGGAAAGAATGTTGATCAGTCAACAATGTGTCACATGATGGGAAGGGAGTACATCAACAAGTAGGGTGATGCAAAATTGACTGACAAGATCGTGTTAACAAGATAGCAAACAGACCATGGAACAGGTGTGGTTTGAACCATGGGCTCAAATTTTACCTGTTTCATATTTTTGTAATAGCAGAGCAAGCTTTTGTTACATAACATTTTACCAAGAGTGAGTAAAGTGTTTAATAAAGGCTTGTTCTGTGTAAATTAATGGTAGAATACATCAAGTATTAATGAGACACAATATGCAGTTTAAGTTAAATTAACTTTTGTTTGCATAATATACAATGTGTGATTTACATGTTATAAAATATTGTTAAGTACAAAGAAAGCCACTAACATATCTGAGCATTTCAGGCATTTTATTGAGATGATTCGTCCATCAGACTATCAATTCTGATAAAATCTCTGGTGGGCCAGTCATCTACTTGATAAAAGGTCATAAACCGCATATAATAATATCTTTATTTACTACAAGTACTGTACTGTGCAAAGTATACAGACAATAGCTGACATCAATGACATACTACTAATAGAAAGCCCCTTGTTATGCAGAACATTTCGGGCAAATTAAGTCAGTTTTATCCCATGATGCGACCCACACCAGTTGACTAACACCCAGGTACCCATGTTACTGATGGGTGAACATATACAACCGGTGTAAGGAAACATGTCTGATGTTTCCACCCCTTCACCGGGAATCGAACCCGGACCCTCAATGTGTGAAGTGAGAGCTTGAGCCACCAGGCCACAGGTATTGTGTCTTATTAACTAAGGCTTGTGACAAGTGTCATTGTATAAATTAAGGTTCCTCATAGTGTTACCACATTACTGTAAGTCTTCAACTTACAAACACATTGAGAATCTAATGTATTGTGTATGATATAGTAATTATTATACATTATTATATGCAATAAAGAGGTCCCCTAATGTGTTAGTAAGTTGAAGACTTCCTGTATTATGAATATATATTGTACACAATTCGGAGGTCCCCAATGTGTTCTTAAGTTGAAGACTTCCTGTATTATGAATATATATTGTACACAATTCGGGAGGTCCCCAATGTGTTCTTAAGTTGAAGACTTCCTGTATTATGAATATATATTGTACACAATTTGGGAGGTCCCCAATGTGTTCTTAAGTTGAAGACTTCCTGTATTATGAATATATATTGTACACAATTCCGGAGGTCCCCAATGTGTTCTTAAGTTGAAGACTTCCTGTATTATGAATATATATTGTACACAATTCGGGAGGTCCCCAATGTGTTCTTAAGTTGAAGACTTCCTGTATTATGAATATATATTGTACACAATTCGGAGGTCCCCAATGTGTTTTAAGTTGAAGACTTCTGTATTATGAATATATATTGTACACAAACGGAGGTCCCCATATGTGATCTTAAGTTGAAGACTTCCTGTATTATGAATATATATTGTACACAATTCGGGAGGTCCCAATGTGTTCTTAAGTTGAAGACTTCCTGTATATGAATATATATTGTACACATATTTCGGGAGGTCCCAATGTGTTCTTAAGTTGAAGACTTCCTGTATTATGAATATATATTGTACCAATTTGGAGGTCCCCAATGTGTTCTTAATTGAAGACAGTCCTGTATATGAATATATATTGTACACAATTCCGGAGGTCCCCAATGTGTTCTTAAGTTGAAGACTTCCTGTATTATGAATATATATTGTACACAATTCGGGAGGTCCCCAATGTGTTCTTAAGTTGAAGACTTCCTGTATTATGAATATATATTGTACACAATTCGGAGTCCCAAGGTCTTAAGTTGAAGACTTCCTGTATTTGAAATATATTGTACACAATTCGGAGTGTCCCCAATGTGTTCTTAAGTGAAGACTTCTGTATTATGATATATATTGTACACATTCGGGAGGTCCCAATGTGTTTTAAGTTGAGACTTCCTGTATTATGAATTATATTGTACACAATTCGGGAGGTCCCCAATGTGTTCTTAAGTTGAAGACTTCCTGTATTATGAATATATATTGTACACAATTCCAAAGGTCCCCAATGTGTTTGTAAGTCAAGGACTTACTGTACTGTATTTAACTTAACTGCATACACAAACAACCCGCACATAGGAGAAAGAAACCTTACGATGGCATTTCGGTCCGACTTGTGACTAGTTAATGGTCTAAGTTGGACTGAAACATCGCCATAGGGTTTCTCCTGTGTGTGGGTTGTACTGTATGTTGTTCAGCATGGTATTGTGCCTTTGTGTTCTTTAACCCTTAAACAGTCCAAACGTATATATACGTTCACTCGCGTAGCGCCCCAAATTTTTTGAGAGAAAAAACATTTTTTTTTTAATAGGAGAAAAGAGCACATGGTGCCCAGGTGTCCCCAATTATTTTAATATGGCACATAGTGAGTGCTCACACCCATTCTCTCATGTCTAAGTGACTCAGGTTTATAGTGGCATGTTGAATGAATGACAAAGAAAGCGTATATATACGTTTGGGGCACTGCGCACATGAACGTATATATACGTTTGGACCGTTTAAAGGTTAACTACATAGATATGGGAAACTACAAGCATAGTGTACATAGTACAGTACTGGTAATATATTTACAAAGCCCATATTATATTCATATTTTTGGACATATAGGTGGTTGAAAGAAGCTTTTAGCTAGATAAATGTGTTGATATCTTCCTGGAACCATGGTGTGTGTGTTCACTTAGATCACTTGTATATACATAAAGGTAAAAGATCTTCAGTAAATTAACTTATTAAATTCCTTTATATATTTTTTTATGTTTTTTTTGCGAATGTATTTGAAAAGGTTCATCCAAAATTGACTGGTGTGTACTGTGAAGGCCTTTCAATTGTTTTATTCTGGACGTACATTCTTAGTCGCTTTATAAGAGAGTTTACTGTTTATAAAACTGGTCGGTAGGATTTAATGAGTCTGTACAATATTTTGTTTAATATTGTATCATGTAAATATGTATTAAGTTTAATAATAATAATAGGGTTAATGTGCTATTTATTCATTTTTATTTTATGTAGTAGTATACAGGCATACCTCGTTGATACGGCACTTTTCATTTATATTCATGTTTATAATTTTCAGTGCTTGCTTTGCTCTTAAGATGGTTTTTGGCAATTTTCAACTTTTTTATTTATTTTTAGAGCTATTGCTCTAGGCCTAAAAGAAATGATTAAACGTGAAAATGATAGTTTAAACATTAGTTTAAATGATAGTGTAAACGATAGTTTAAACATGTTTTAAGGTTTTTGTATGCACCGGCAAGTAAAAAAAGCTGCTAAGATTCGCTTTAAGGCAATATTTGCCTTACAGTTTTGATCTGGAACCTAACCTGCCGTGTAGCAAGGTAGACCTGTACTTAGATTTCCATTTTAGCACTAGTAATAAGCTAATATTTAATTATCGTGTTTTATAATCATGTGGAAGTGGATAGGGGGTAACTAAATTTGATCTGAGGAAAGGGAGAATTGCTCTAGTTTCCTGGATCAAGAGCTCCTCACCAGCATCAAGAATTAACATAAGTGAAAAATGCTAACTTCGGCAAGTTGCATCCCATTTTTAAACTCCCAAATTGCATGCACATGTCCTACAAGATGAAATATAATATTTTCTAGTGCTACCCTAGAGTGCTAATTCATCAGACTAGAGTGAGCCTTCCCGCTTAACATTCTCCTTAGCATTGCTTCCTAACTTGCCACACAATTTTTTCACCTGCATGCTAACATAGTCACATGATGTATTTACAGCCTCACTTCGGTATTAATCTTCTTCTCATTGTGGTTTTAAATTAGTGTGGTCCGGACTAGATCACTAATGTACTTAAAGATATAATTTGAATGACTTTGTAAACAACAGGAATTTAGTACAATAACTTGTAAACAACAGGAATTTAGTACAATAACTTGTAAACAACAGGAATTTAGTACAATAACTTCACCTTGAATCACTTTATAAAGCACAGGAATTCAGTGTAATATCTCCTGTCTATATTTCTAACTAAAAGAGTGTTGAGCTTACTGAAAACATTTACACTTTCATCACCATGGAAAAAAAAATAGTGACAAAAACTTGAACTAGCACAATGTAATTAATGAATTAGTAGTTTCAATGATTATGAATAGATATACATTAGCTTTCCATAGCATGTCATACCACATACTCTACTATATATACACTACTGTATATAATTTTGTGTGTCATTTTCTGCACTCGTAGTTACAAATAAATGCACTCTTAATAGGTAACACAAAGATGATATAGAAAATAGTTTCATTGCATAAATTTTTAGTGATACGTAAAAAGCACATAAAATATCTTAATTTTTACACATTTTTATCAAAATTTTATCAAACTCACTTCATGGAACTATTGATGTAAATGTTATTTACAAGGTTAAAACAAGAGCTGTGTTTAAATAATGCATCCATCATATTAATTTTGCTTCTCTTTCTCCAGGCACAACTGGGGAAGCAGCAACCAAAGCCTTGCACTTAACTTTAGCCTACCAGTTTCCACCGTCACACTTCTCTTGCCTTGAATCTCTGGTGGACCTGGTGGAGCCAAGAGCACCGTCTGTGTGGGAGGTCCGACTCTACTCTAGGGACACGCGAATTATTGGAAATGAGGTACTGTATATGCTCCTGTATATTGCCACAGTTGATGTGATATACAGGGTTACATCCCAACAAACCCATCATAAGTCGAAAATGAATACAATATGCTCAGTAAATAAATAACTATTGTCACTGAATAAGTAAATAAGCCAATAATTACTGTAACTAACTAAATACCAGTATGTTGTAACTAACTAGTACCAGATGCTCCTCGACTTATGACGGTGTTATGTTCTGACAAACCCATCGTAAATCAAAATGCATCACACTTGTAGAAATAAAGATTATTATTATTATTTTTTTTTCAACAAGTCGGCCGTCTCCCACCGAGGCAGGGTGACCCAAAAAGAAAGAAAGAAAATTCCCAAAAAGAAAATACTTTCATCATCATTCAACAATTTCACCACACTCACACACAATCACTGTTTTTGCAGAGGTGCCAGAATACAATAGTTCAGAAGTATATACGTATAAAAATACACAATATATCCCTCCAAACTGCCAACATCCCAAACTCCTCCTTTAGAGTGCAGGCATTGTACTTCCCATTTCCAGGACTCAAGTCCGGTTATATAAAATAACTGGTTTCCCTGAATCCCTTCACTAAATATTACCCTGCTCACACTCCAACAGCTCATCAGGCCCCAAATACCATTTGTCTCCATTCGCTCCTATCTAACATGCTCACGCACGCTTGCTGGAAGTCCAAATTAGTCTACCCGAAATGCACCACATGCTAGTGACTTTTTTTTGTACCTATTACTTTTATTACATGTAAACTATATTATTTGCATTCTGCAGAACAGAAATAAATTATTTATATTTGTATTTGCATTTTATAATTTTTATTTATTGCTTCTGCCATCCTCAGGTACACAAGGTGTTGTATTCACACGTCCCACGAGATCCTGATGAGCTGGAACTATTAATTGGAGATTTTGTGTATGTTAAAGGCGATAGTCTTGCATCCTCACCTGACGGATGGATAGAAGGGACATCGTGGCTCACAGGTTCCACAGGATTTTTGCCTATAATTATATAGAACGCACAGCTGAATCAGATTCTTGGACATTGCATAGGTGAGTGGTTAATGCTTTGAAACTTTGTTTTTACAAAATTTGGAATGCTGTAAAGAAGAAAAAGGCACAATATTGTGATTAGAATAATACATGACGATGTTTCAGTTTGACTGGGACCATTAACCAGTCACATACAGTGTGTGACTAGTTAATGGGCCAAGTTGGGCAATTAACTAGGACTATTAACTAGTCACACAAGTGTGTGTGTGACTAGTTAATAGTCCAAGTTAGACCAAAACATCGTCATAAGTGTCTTTCTCCTATGTGCAGGTTATTTGTGTACTGGAATGCTTATAAATAATACTGGGAAACGCCCTCATTGTTAAACATTTAAATCCTACTGGCTAGAAAACCCACTGATGCACACTGTCTACATAACTTTGTACTCATGAGACTTAATAATTAACCTGCTTTATGGTTACCCAGTTGACAGGAAAAACACTTCTTCTGGCATCATTTTCTCATGATACTGCACCTGGAAACAAGATTAAGATGCTATTTGACTGGGAGCATTCAATTAAGTGTTTGTGCATATATTATTAATTTAAGAAAATTTCAGGTGGATTAAAATGAGTGATAACAGTACGTTAGAAGTGAGTGGAGGCAAGTAGTTTTTATGACTTGACGTGCTGTTAGAGTGTTAGCGAAGTGACATTTACAAAAGGATTCAGGGAAACCGGTTAACTGGACTTGAGCCCTGGTGGTGGGAAATACAGTGCCTGCACTCTGAAGGAGGGGTAGGGATATTGCAGTTTTGAACTGTATCAGCACCCCTCTGGCAAGACGGTGATGGAGTGAGTGATGGTGAAAGTGTTTCTTTTTCTTTTTTGGATTTTCCCTACCCATATTTCTTTTACTTCCTGACATTCTTTCTTCTGAATACAGATATTGTACTACTGGAGTCATAAAGTTTACGCAGTAATGCAGGTTCTTGGTATTTGATTTGATCAGAGCACTGTCTCTTCAAGACAGTGCCCTGATGCTAGTGATGGGCTCTTGATCCAGAGAATTAGGGCTACCCTTCTCTTTCCTGGATCAAACCTAATTTCCTCCCATTTCCAAGGCACTGTATGATTTCTATGGGTTTAGTGTTTCCTATGAATACAGTATAATAATAATAATAATAATAATAATAATAATAATAATAATAATAATAATAATAATAATAAAAATAATAATTCATCAATAATTGAGTGTCCAGGTAAAAATTCAGACAATGCTGTTAGATGTCAAGATGGAAATTAACTAAATTTGAAAATATTTGAGAAGATTCTGCAAGAATAGATAATCATGACTTGGCCAATGTTACCTCTGATTTTTGTTAACCAGTCTTATGTTAAGTGATACTTAATCTGTAATCATAGTTTTAGGTTGTTGAAAGATAATTTTTGTGTTGCTTAACAATTCGCAAACAGGCAAAATTATTTACAAACATTATCTCTCAATCCACAGCAGGATTCAAACTTGTACACTATGCATCAAGGTATGTAGTACTTATGCAACTCAGCCAAATCTGGGATTTGGCTGAGTGACTTAAGTGCTACTTACTGTGATGCAGAGTGTGTAGGTTCAAATCCTGCTGTGGACTGAGAGATAATGTTTGTAAATATTTTTGTATATCTTTACGTTCACAATAGAATCATTCCAGTTTTAGTTTCGTTGAAAAATATTTTTTGCATATTTTATGTTTGCAACAGAGCCATTCCAGTCATAGGCAGTACCGGTCGAGAAGGACTTGAAACTGCATCTTTCCCGCGCCGTCCACCAATCTCCTTGTCATTGTTGAACCTTTTAGAAAATAGCGAGGGCTCGAGGCGCTCAACTGAGGTACTATCCGAATCATCGTCTATAGATCGACTACACTCTCGTCAAGCGTCCTTAGAGGTGGCACATTCACCTCCTCTGCCTCAGCAAGAGGCATTAGATGTACTTTATGCAAAGGTTAGTTATATCTCCTTAGATATTATTTATATTCTTACCAGTCCTGCCTGTATGTTCCTTACTTTACTCAGATATTTATTTCCAATGCAGAACAAGGTACTTGGGGATGGAAATCTTTAGCTCTAGATCTTTCGCACTCCTGTGCATCATCAGGAGCCATGCAGCGTTGCAAAGACAGCAATAGATACGAGAGGAAATTCTCTGAGGCAAGGCAGAGGGTATCAGTAGTAACCCATGAGCTGCCATTAATACCTTCTGCCTTGCCTCAGCAAATTCCCTCTCCTATCTATTGCTTTCTTGCAGCATTGCATAGCTCCTGACAACTCACAAGAGTGCAAAAGATCTAGAGCTAAAGATTCCATCCCCATGTGCCTTGTTCTGCACATATACTTAGATATTATTTACATTCTTGCCAGTCCTACTTGTCACTTCCTCTTTTTACTCGGATACAATACGTATCATTTTTCTCTATTGTCTTTAAGATCTGGAAATATAAACACATATGCAGTTTAATGTGATCCTTTATTGACAATGTTTCGCCCACACAGTGGGCTTTTTCAAGTCACAAACAGATCTGTTTGTGACTTGAAAAAGCCCACTGTGTGGGCGAAACGTTGTCAATAAAGGATCACATTAAACTGCATATGTGTTTATATTTCCACTGTGTCGGTATTTTATACCATTTATTTCCACCGTCTTTAAGATCTGTCGTCATTCAGTTAATATGATCATTGTATCCAGTATTTGACATTTACACAGTTATTATGTGGAGGACATCCTGCCAGAAGTTTATTTAGTAGTTTAATTCATTTCCAGTTAGAATGCAATAGATGACTAACAAAATGTGGTGTTCCTGATTTTTCAACCATCATAAGAGTTTTTTGCATAGAAAATAATAATACAAATGATGGTTGTGTTTCAAACATGGAAAGACAGTGATTGAGTGAACAATGATGAATGTGTTTTCTTCACTGGGTCATCCCGCCTTGGTTGGAAAAGGCCATTGAGGTAAAAAAAAAAAAAATGGTAACTGCAACCTGGTTCCATTTTTTTTGTTGTTTGCATTATTTAGCATCATTAAATGTATCATTTCAGGTTAAGAAGCCAAAAAAGGAAGGACCTCTCTACAAATTCCCTATTGAGGGACCACGCAAAATTATTATTGCCAGACATGGAGAGAGAGTTGATTTCACTTTTGGTGACTGGATTCGCTTTTGCTTTGATGAGATAGGTAGGTTTCTAATCTTATTATTGTATTTCATTTATTTATCTGTGGGGATAAATAAATGATTCAGGGAAACCGGCAGGCCGGACTTGAGTCCTGGAGATGGGAAGTACAGTGCCTGCACTCTGAAGGAGGGGTGTTAATGTTGCAGTTTAAAAACTGTAGTGTAAAGCACCCTTCTGGCAAGACAGTGATGGAGTGAATGATGGTGAAAGTTTTTCTTTTTCGGGCCACCCTGCCTTGGTGGGAATCGGCCAGTGTGTTAATAATAATAAAATATCTGTGGGGAAGTGGAGAAGAATTCTTCCTCCGTAAGTCATGTGTATCGTAAAAGGCAACTAAAGTGCCAGGAAACGGGCTCATAACCTCTTCTGTATAAATTACTAAATGTAAAAAGATGAAAACTTGTTTCTTCTTTTACGGGTCACTCTACTTCCATGGGAAAAGACAGCCTGTGTATTAAAAAAATATATATACGTATATATAATAATTTTTTTACCACCAAGGAAGTACAATGCCTGCACTTTAAAGGAGGGGTTTGGGATATTGGCAGTTTGGAGGGATATGTTGTGTATCTTTATACGTATATGCTTCTAAACTGTTGTATTCTGAGCACCTCTGCAAAAGCAGTGATAATGTGTGAGTGTGGTGAAAGTGTTGAATGATGATGAAAGTATTTTCTTTTTGGGGATTTTCTTTCTTTTTGGGGTCACCCTGCCTCGGTGGGAGACGACCAACTTGTTGAAAAAAAAAAAAATATAATAATGGGATACAATTGCTGTATAAAATAGCACCAAAGGAATATACATGTACTCCTAGTGCCCCAGATAGGGAATTCTAACAGATCTGCCATATATTAGGAAAACAAGAGAGATAACTCACTGTACTCTCCTATATGCATTTTGAAGTCTAGATTTATTTTATCTTATTCACTATTAGATGAGAATAATTTTTTTTTTATTTTCTGTATACTCAGAGGAGAGTAGTGTTAAGTCATGCAGAATGTGTAAGGTGTACTGGAGACCAGTCTAGTGACCTCACACCAATGTTAACTACAGGTGCTCCTCGCCTTATGATGGGGTTATGTTCCAACAAATCCATTGTAGGTTGAAAATATTTTAAGTCAAATATGAATATGATAAGCTAAATAAATAAATAACTACTGTCACTAAATAAGTAAATAAACAAAGAATTATTCTAACTAATAAATACCAGTATTGAAAAGTAAATTAATGAATACAAGTTACAGACTTGCTGCCTTCATGCTGGGTAATTATCTTAAGTTTCGTCTCCAAAGTAATTGCTTTTGCACTTATAAGTCGAACCATCGTAAGTCAAGGGGCACCTGTAGGTCATTTAGTGTACAAAATGTTAGTAAGTAAGTAAGTAAGTTTATTCAGGTATACACAAATACAGTTACATAGAATTATCATACATAGCAGCATATGTGTAGAGAACCTAGGATAACCCAAAAAAGTCAGACAGACTTGCTTAGGCCTACGAGTGAAGGCCCTACTGTTGCCTAAATCAGAGAAACCTTCACAATCCTTAGTCTAAACATTATCATGTTAATAATATTTTATTCTCCTGATGTCTGGACATGATTGTGGTCTTGCACGAGGAAAGTTGGTGGATTGGCCTCAATATTCCTTACATAATTTATTACTGGGTTTTCTACAACATTGTGAAATTCCCTTTTTTACGTCGTGCACTTTGTAAGCACCAACTTTCTGCTTGCATTGTTGTTTTTTCAATATTCTCTCAGCCATTGAGTAGTTACAGTGCTCATGTCAAAGCAGCGAAACTTAATATGCAGTAATTGGCCTTTTACTTGCTCCTGTTTTTGTATTGTACACAGCAGCAAAACAATTCAAACTACAGCTATGTGGAAGTCACATGTATACTAGATGTACACATCCTTGGGTTTATACGGAATAATGCTAGATTATATTTGTGCAGGAAACTATCAGCGACGTGACCTTAACATGCCTGAAACGCTACCTCATCGGAAAGGTGCACCACATAGTTTCTATAAGGATTGCCCTCTCACAAACATTGGTCTACTACAAGCAACACTTGTAGGACAAGCCATGAAAGCCAATGAAACGGAGGTGCATCACGTTTTCTGCTCCCCTTCTTTACGCTGTGTTCAAACATGTTCTAATATTCTTAAAGGTAAGTTCATTAAATACGGCCTCTTATCACTTAGTGACTGAGTTCCGTTCCTAAGACCACGTCGGTAAACGAATTCTTCGCTAAGTGAGAAGCATACTATAATGGTAATGGGTTTGTGTCAACCATCTTTGATATTGTTTTGATGTCACCTTTGCACCAGTAATAACATTTCTGGTATATTTTTAAATGTTTATACAGTATTGTACTGTATACTATTATAATATACAGAATAGAGGAAATCAGCTCTAATATACATTGTTTAGGTATGCATACTGGTCAGAGAGCTCGTCGTAAGTCTGAGTCGCCGGTAAACGAGTACATTGCTAATCAAGGAGACGCTGTATACAGCTGGAAATTCTAACTCTTTAAAAGTAATCTGATGATGTTTTATATTTTATACTCTTTAATACACTACAATTTGCAGCTTGATTTATTTTTAATTCAGTTGTATTAAAATTTTTATCTTGTTTCCAGATACAAACATACCTCACTAATACAGCGCTTTGCTTTAGAGTGCTTTGCTAAAACGCCGTTTGTAAATTATTTTCACATTTATTAATTTTAGCGGTGACATGCGTATCGGGTTAGCAATACGGTACTGTAGCATTTTTTTATTTATTATTTTTAATTTGCATTGTTTTTGAGGCATAGTGCTATTGTGCACTTAATAAATGACAGTGTAAACTTGTTTTTTAGGCTGACAGACCCATTGTAAGTCAAATATGAATTCATGTATTCTAAACAGATAAGTAAATAAACAATTACTGTCACTGTATAAGTAAATAAACTAAAAATTACTATAATGAAATACTAGTACATAAATGAATACAAGTTACAGACTTGCTGCCTTCATGCTGGGTAATTATCTTAAGTTTAATCTCCAGAGTAATTGCTTTTGCACCATCATAAATTAATCCATATTAAATTAATCCTTAATCATAAAATCGAAATATGTAAGTAGACCCATCGTAAGTCTAGGAGCCCCAGTATACTCCTAGAAATAGTTATCTGTTATACCCAGGTATGCTATACCTGGGTATAACAGATAACAAGGAGTTATTATTGCTATTGAGGAACGTATAGAGTAACAATCAGTGAAATGAATGTGAGGTTTTTTCGTAGTTGTATTTCATGAGGGTTACAAGGTGCATGCTCCCTGCATTTTTGTAACCTCTTATGGCACCCATGCTTGTGGAGGAAGGAGTCTTCTCCACTCACCCATGGAGATTGCTCCTGGCATTCTAGTCACCTCTTACGTGTGGCTTGCGGAGGAAGGATTCTTGTCCACTTTCCCATGGAGAAAAATAATAATTTTTTTCATGTCTTTTATGATCTTGTATATGACTGTAATATTTCATCATCCCTTTCAGCCAACAAAGACATTTTACACATTTTTATTCTTTTATTACAGTAATTAATACACAAATTGTATTAAATGCTTTGTATCTATATGTCTCTGGCACGACAGTAATAGTGTGAACGATGGTGAAAGTGTTTCTTTTTCAGGTCACTCTGCTTCGGTGTGAGACAGGCAGTGTATTAAAAGAAAAAGAATGTATGTATACTGTATGATTACTTTATCATCATCTAAATTTGGCTTTCTCTGTCAGGCATTGGTGTTGCTGAAGCTATGCCAATTAACATCGAACCTGGTCTCTTTGAGTGGCTGGCATGGTACCATGATGGAATGCCTGTATGGATGACTCTCGACGAACTAACAGACGCAGGGTTTAACATCAACCACAATTACGACCCTCTGATCCGGAAAGAGGAATTAAAAGACACACATGAGAGCTGTGAGCAGTATTATGGCAGAAACACCTACGTTACACAGAGTATCATTAATACAACACAGTCGCAAGGTATTTCAACATAGTGTAGACATTTCTGTTGCATAATTATTGATTGTAAATAATTTCATACCAAATTATCATCTTACCTTTTGAAACCTTCTTTGCACTCTCCTTTCAGCTCTTTCTCAGACATTTTGTATAAACCCTTTCCTCTACCCTAGATTTATACATCACCTTGATCAACCTTATCTTCCCTAACCCTTAAACTGTCCAAACGTAGATCTACGTTTGCTCGCATAGTGCTCTGAACGTAGATCTGCATTTTTTTTACATTCTTTCTTATGGAGAAAATCAAGGTCTGAGCGCTACGCGTGCAAACGTAGATCTACGTTTGGACAGTTTAAGGGCTAAATACCCAAACTCTCTCAGCAACTTCCTTTCTACTCACTAAATTAAACCCGCCCCATTTCTTAAACTATTCACTCATTCTTTACATAATATTTACTTTACACCACAAATTGATATCAAATGCAGCACCTCCACTGCCCCTGGCCTCTTTCTTACAGTATTTAAAAACTATACTTCACACCCATACAGAAAAAATGACACCATTATACTGTGATATACAGTATCCCCATTTTTTTGCAAGTACTGTCCTGACATATGTTACCTTGCTCACACTCAAACAGCATATCAGGTTTCCAAAACAGTTTGCCTCCATTCACTCTTATCTAACATGCTCACACATGCCTGCTGGATGTCCAAGCTCCTTCCACACTAAACCTCTACACAAATAACCTGCACATAGGAGAGAGAGACTTACGACGACATTTCAGTCCAACTTGGACCATTTACAGTGACACTCAACTTGTAAATGGTCCAAGTCAGACCAAAATGCCATCATAAGTGTTCCAGTCACTGTATTGTGCCTTTTTGTTCTTTATCTCTCTCTCTCCAGTACTTCCATCTCTTCATCCATCATCTCACCACTTTCATTGTTAACTGGGAAATCCATTTGCTTCCCAGGATGACTTAAACACACATAAAATAAGTTACACCCTTTTGTTTTCCTTTCCAGGTGGGACAGTGCTGCTAGTAGGCCATGCTGCTACACTAGACACATGCACAAGACAACTAGTCGGAGGAACACCTAGATCAGCACATGAGATGACTACTATCATTAAGAAGGTCAGTAAAACACTATTCTTTGATTATATGTCATTGAAATTTGTTGCTTAGGTATTAGAAAGTTGTATGTGAGCTCCCCACAATCTCATTAAAAAAATTGACCACAAAACTAGTATAAATATAAGATTAACCCTTAAACTGCGCAATACAGAATAATGTCAGTGTACAATAAAGGTCTCTCGATCCAGTATTTTCTTTTATATTTAGCCTAATACTCAGATGTATGGAAAATTGTAAATTAAAGTGGAATCAACTGCATCTGACCTCTAAATGGCACTTATGTTGCATTAAAGTGGCTTTATTGAAGTAAGGCAAGTTGCAGGAGGCACTTGCTCAGTGCTCATTACAAAAAATAAATTCAGTTGGATGTTTTCTTATATAAAAGTTGCCAGGTGTGTTGGTGTTAGCGTTCTGTTTACACATGGATAATAATTAGTATTTCATTGTTTACACACTTAGCACTGTTATTAAGTTCTAGTACTTGAGAGTAATTGATAATCTCTGAAGAACTTAAGAAATGTTTCAAAATAGGACAATGATAACAGCTCACTGTTTCTCTCCCTGAACTGCTCACAGTGGCAGACTGATTAAGAAACTGCTTGTGGCCTCATCTCTGCCATTATTTATTTTTTGTTTGTAGCTTAATTTACACGTCTCATATGGGTTTTGATCCATACTGAAATATTATCTCGTAAGCATTTTTTTAAACATATTGTCCGCTTCCCACTGAGGCAAGGTGACCCGAAAAAAAGAAACACTTTCGTCATCACTCCATCACTGTCTTGCCAGAGGTGTGCCGATACAGGTCCACATCCCTTTATCCAAAATTCTGAAATTCGAAAAGTTCTGAAAACTAAAGTTTTTTTGTGGAGTGTCAGTTATGTCAGTGCTGGGTCATGCCACGTGGCGGTGTGACCCAGCACTGACAGCCAGAGTGGCAGGCAAAATTCAAAACAATACTGGCCCCAAGGGTTTCTGATAAAGGGATGTGGACCTGTATGACAGTTCAGGTGCCCCTCCAAACTGCAAATATCCCCACCCTTCCTTCAATGCAGGCACTGGACTTCCCAACTCTAGGACTCAAGTCTGGCTAACCAGTTTCCCTGAATCCTTTCAGAAAATATTACCCTGCTCACACTCCAACAGCTCATCAAGTCCAAAGAAATATTTGTCTCCATTCACTCCTGTCTAACATATACACTGTATACAGTGGACCCTCGCCTAACGAACGCATCACATGATATTAAATCCGCCTAACTGTTTGAACATAAAAATTTTGCCCTGCCTAACGATAAAAAACTCAACCAACGTGATTCGTCCAGGACCTGTCCATGCTGCCCCGTGGGTGCCAGTGTTTACAAGCCAGCCAGTGCAGTCGCATCTATGTATACATTTGGTACATTTCACATTGTCCCAGTGTTTTAGTGCTTGTAACTGCAAAATAAGTCACCATGGACCCCAAGAAAGCTTCTAGTGCCAACCCTGTGGTAAAAAGGGCGAGAATTAGTATGGAATTGAAAAAAGAGATTAAGGAAATGTGTGCAAAGTGGGTTGAACTGCAAACCTTTATGGATGAAAATTACCCTAACGCAGTTATTGCAGGCCGTGCTGGTGACTATTACAATGACATTGTTGTGGCCCATTTTAGGCAAATCTTAAAGGAATGTGAGATACAGACCTCTATGGACAGATTTGTTGTGCGACAGACGTCCAGTGACTCTCAAGCTGGTCCTAGTGGCATTAAAAGAAGAAGGGAAGTAACCCCGGAAAAGGACTTGCTACCTCAAGTCCTCATGGAAGGGGATTCCCCTTCCAACCAATAACAATTCCACCATCTCCCCTCCTCCCATCCCATCAATCATCACCAGATCTTCAATAAAGGTAAGTGTCATGTATTCTTTATTTAGTACAGTAGTAATTGTGCATATCTTCTTCTTTTTGGGTGTATAAAAATGTATATTTCATGTGGTAAATTTTTTTTTTTTCATACTTTGGGGGTGTCAGGAATGGATTAATTTGATTTCCATTATTTCTTATGGGGAAAATTAATTCGGCTAACAATAATTTCGGCTAACAATGAACTCTCAAGAACGGATTTAATATAGTTAGGTGAGGGTCCACTGTATTTAGTCATTTTCTACTGTATTATTCTACCCTGATGAGACCTGACGTAGGTTGGATATTTGTCAGAGTTGGGTAATATTTTTAACATTCCCAAATTCTACAAATATTTTAACCATGTTAAATAATTAATTTTAACCAGCTTTAGTACTCCCACCTGTCTGAAATCAGGATGTCTTTGCCAAATTTTTAAATTTGTACAGTACTAAGTTAATTAAAATTCACGTTAAGCATAAGACATGGTGGAGGTTGGATCCTCTGTTTGTTGAGTGCCAGACAGATACTCTTCCTATTTTGTACTTACCTAGTTGTCCTGTTCAGTACTAAGATAGTTGGTAGTTGATTATAAGGTGAATGAATGTCACCTTTGCACTATTTATAACATTTTAATATATTTTTAAATGTTTATACAGTAGTGTATTGTATATTGTAATAACAGAATAGGGGACATCAGCTCTAATATACATTAATTAGGTATGAATACTGGTCAGAGAGCCTGTCCTAAGTCTGAGTCATTGGTAAACGAGTTCGTCGCCAAGTGAGGAGAGGCTGTATTAGGGACACTGAGTTAACATATCTCTGATCTCCTATCTCAGTGTGCCTCACAATACTTACTATTTTATTAAATTATCTTCAGTGTAAATACCTCTCTTTTTTTATCTCTCTTCCTCTGCTCCTTCCTCCTCATGCTCTCTTCCCTTCTTCTCTTCTCCCTGCCCCTTTCTTCTTCCTCTCTCTCAGTCTTTCCCCTTTCTCTTTCCCCCTCCTCCCTCTCTCTTTTCTCTTTCTCTCTCTCTCTCTCTCTCTCTTTTTTTTTTTTTTTTTTTTTACACAGGGTTTGACAAGGTTAAGGATCCCTAGCTTTATTGACAAGCTATTTACAAGTTAAGGATTCCTAACTTTATTGGCAGGCTAAGAGCTGTTACCTACATCAGCTCATTTGAAAGCATTTTTATTGTTATGAGACAAGTAGGGAACAGGATGAAGTTGGAGCCATCTGTGGGCCAGCATTTTCATTTGATCAACTGACTTTATTTCGTTGACATCATTATGCTGTACGAATGTGTTCCATACTCTCTCTCTCTCTCTCTCTCTCTCTCTCTCTCTCTCTCTCTCTCTCTCTCTCTCTCTCTCTCTCTCTCTCTCTCTCTCTCTCTCTCTCTCTCTCTCTCTCTCTCTCTCTCTCCTCTCTCTCTCTCTCTCTCTCTCTCTCTCTCTCTCTCTCTCTCTCTCTCTCTCTTTCCTTTCTCCCTCTCTCTCTCCTTTCTCCCTCTTTCTCCCTCTCTCTCCTTTCTCCCTCTTTCTCCTTTCTCCCTCTTTCTCCTTTCTCCCTCTTTCTCCTTTCTCCCTCTTTCCCCTTCCTCTCTCTCCCTCTTTCCCCTTCCTCTCTCTCCCTCTTTCCCCTTCCTCTCTCTCCCACTTTCCCCTTCCTCTCTCTCCCTCTTTCCCCTTCCTATCTCTCCCTCTTTCCCCTTCCTCTCTCTCCCTCTTTCCCCTTCCTCTCTCTCTCTCTTTTCCCCTCCTCTCTCTCCCTCTTTCTCCTTCCTCTCTCCCCCTCTTTCTCCTTCCTCTCTCCCCCTCTTACTCCTTCCTCTCTCCCCTCTTACTCCTTCCTCTCTCCCCCTCTTTCTCCTTCCTCTCTCTTTTCCCTTCCTCTTTTCCCTTCCTTTTTTTTTTTTTTTTTTTTTTACACAGGGTTTGACAAGGTTAAGGATCCCTAGCTTTATTGACAGCTATTTACAGGTTAAGGATTCCTAACTTTATTGGCAAGCTAAGAGCTGTTACCTACATCAGCTTATTTGAAAGCATTTTTATTGTTATGAGACATACAAGTAGGAAACAGGATGAAGTTGGAGCCATCTGTGGGCCAGCATTTTCATTTGATCAACTGACTTTATCTCGTTGACATCATTATCCTGTACAAATGTGTTCCATACTCGAGTCATCCTGGGTATGTATGATCTCAGATGGAGTGATGTTCTGGAGAAGGGTACAGCCAGAGTGAAGTTGCTGCTTTCTGCCCGTCTTGTGGCATAAAAGCTTGTTTCACGCTGTCCTCGAAGTGGATCCAAGTGTGGTATTTTGACAATATTGGCCTTGTACATAACAGTAAGGCCACCCACATCCCTCCTATGTTGAAGGCTCTGCTGAAATGACAGATCTATCCAGGATGGGTCCAGGCGAGAGATGAGACGTCTTGCTCTGTTCTCTACTCTGTCAAGCAGTCGCAGATGAGAGGGGGGGCAGGCAAACCAAGAAAGTGGAGCATACTCAAGGTGCGAGCGTACTTGTGCCTCGTACAGGATCTTGCAACCCCTACTGTCAAGCAGATGGGAGATACGGCGAAGTACTGTAAGCTTCCTGGCTGCCTTGTTTGCAAGATTTACAACATGGTTCTTCATGGTTAGTTTGGAGTCAAATTTCACCCCAAGGATATCAACTTCTTCTCCAGGTGCCAACATCCTCCCATTCATCCTTACTACTGCACCAGCATTACCATCATGGTGCCTAGAGACGATCATCATTTGCGTTTTCTCAGGTGCAAATGTTACTTGCCATCTATTTCCCCAAGCTGATATAGCTCTCAGCTGGTGATTGATGTAGCTTAGAGCAGCTGGCATTTCTTCTCTTGGATAAGTGAATGTCAGTGTACAGTCGTCTGCATATGCATGTGATTCTGGGATGAGATGAAGAAGGTCGTTGAAGTAGACATTCCATAACAATGGACCCAGCACGCTTCCTTGTGGAACACTTGCCCCAATAGGATGTCTTGCTGATTCCGTTCCATTGAGAACTACACTTAGAGATCTACCATGAAGGTAGTCACTGAGGAGACATAGCGTAGAGCCTGCAATTCCCAGTGCTTGAAATTTTGCTAA